TTATTATTAGTGTTTACCGATATAATAGTGCTTAATAGTGATTAACCATAGCATTGTAGCCAGGTTAGACTCGTCACTGCAACCACCAGGCTACCGGGCCAAGCTGTGAGGTGTTATGGTTGTTTATCAACTTGTATTTTTGGGCAGATATATGTAACTTTCTTCGTTTCATTTTACTCATTTACATGCACACACCATCCTAAATACATTTTGTGAAGAAAGTAAAATAAATAATTGTCCTAAGGGCAAACCTGTACTCAAATATAAGATGGCAATTAATTTGAGTAAAAACATCACAGTATTTGCAAAAGAGATAAAAAATTTTATCCTTTAGTATAGTACAGTACATTTCAGTACAAAGTGAGTACGTACAGTAATATGTTGCTCAAAATTATGGATTTTTCACAGGAAAAAGTCTGTATAACTACCCTCACTGGTCAGGATAATATGTACAGTACAGTGTAGTCTGCATTTACGCGGTCAATTGAACCCGTGGAGGCCCACGTAAAATGAGAAACGCGTAAATGAAATAACTGAACATAAGCGATTAATTGAAATAGAGACTGGGCCGACTCCCAAACTCCACTTTTTCCGACACAATACCTACGTTGTAGTAAAAATAACATCTTCATTTTATGATGGTTTGCACACACAATTAATATTTAAGAGAAATACAGTCGCCGGTTAATGTCCATTCAAATAATGGACTCAACCCCCCCCCCCCGCTCACTGGCTCCTCCCTCTCTGAGAAATGTTTGGGTGAAAACAGTAGGCTTACATTTTTAGTAATAAATAATACCTCAGACTAAAGCTAGGATAACATAATTGATATTGCTGGATTCCTTGCAGGACCAGGAATATTTTGAATATAAACGTCATATATTTTGCACAAAAGATAAAATTTTTGCTCTTTCTTTTCAAAATTCTTAAATTAGATCTACAATTTGTATGTCTAATGCAAATTTTATGATGTTTATATTTAAAATAATCACAATCTTATAAGAATTCCAGAAATATAAATTATATTCTGCCCGGGTAATTTGTATGAATTTTATGAGCTAAAACAAATATCTTCAGTAAATACAGTACAGTGAACCCTCGCTTTACGCGGTTTCACTTTACGCGTTTCTACATTTACGCGGTACCCTGCCAGAACCGGAATTCCCACTTTACGCGGTGCATCTACTCATATACGCGGGTGAAGTATAATTTTCTTATTTAGCTCATAAAATTCATACAAATTACCCGGCCAGAATATAATTTACATTGCTGGAATTCTTACAATTTGATGATCATTTTGAATATAAGCATCATAGATTTTGCATTAGACATACAAATTTTAGATCTAATGCAAGTATTTTGTTTACTCAGAGCAAATATGTTATCTTTTGTGCAAAATATATGAAGTGTACATTCAAAATATTCCTGGTCTTGCAAGGAATCCAGCAATGCTAATTATATTATCCTAACTTTAGTCTGAGGTATTATTTATTACTAAAAATGTAAATATACTGTTATAACCCAATCATTTCTCTGGTAGGGAGGGAAGGTGGGGGTGAGGGGTAGGGAGGGAGGGAGGGACCCAGGGAGCAGGTGGGAAGAGGGGGGGAGGTGGGGTATTTTGATTGGCAGATAGTATTTCGGTAAGTATATTTTGTTTATTTATTGAAGATATTTGTTTTAGCTCATAAAATTCATACAAATTACCGGGCCAGAATATAATTTACATTGCTGGAATTCTTACAATTTGATGATCATTTTGAATATAAGCATCATAGATTTTGCATTAGACATACAAATTTTAGATCTTATGCAAGTACAGTACTCCCTCTTTATCGACGGATTTTTTATCGACGGTTTCGATTATCGACGGATTATTTAGACCGAGTGACAGTGATGCTATGTGGGAATGCGGCAGGGCATATGATTAAGCCCATGTTGTTATACACTGCCGCACGACCTTGGGCTCTCAAAAATAAAAACATGAACTTGCTACCAGTTTTCTACAGGAACAACAAGAAAGCGTGGATGACATCTGATTTGTGCGTGGATTGGCTGAAAAACTGCTTTGCTAGAGAGGTGAAAGATTATCTGGATGAACTTGGCATGGAGTTCAAAGTGGTATGATATCTAGATAATTGCCCTGGCCACTCTGAAGAACTCAAGACTGCCCACCCCATCATTGAGGTGGTTTTCCTGCCAAAAAACACCACCTCCATCATCCAGCCAATGGACCAGGGAGTCATTGTCGTGTTTAAGGCTAAATATGCAGAGAAGACTTTCAGCATGATTCGTGAGTGCCTTGATAAGGATGCTGATGTGACACCCAGAGAAATGTGGAAGAAATTTGATATTGCACAGTGCATAAACTTCATCGCTGAAAGCCACAATGAACTGTCGCAGAACTGTGTCCGATCGTGTTGGAAAAAATTGTGGCCTGAAATTGTCCCAACATTCACAGGGTTCCCAACAGCCGAGCCTCAGTTACGCAACATAATAACTATGGCAAATGAAGTTGGAGGTGAAGGGTTCTCTGACTTAACAGCGGCAGAGGTGCAAGAAGAGTTATTGGGAAATGTTGGGGATCCATTTACAAGTGATGAACTAGAACAATTAGTGGAGCTGCAGGATGAAACAGAAGATGAAGTGAGTGATGATGAAAATAAGAACTTAACTTTAGATAATCTTGGTGAAGTAATAAGAATGAGTAAGGCCCTCTCTGCTCGTCTCTATGACATTGATCCCTCCCTTGATAGGTCCCTTAAAGCAAAGAGAGCTATTGAAAATGTTATGTTGCCATATATAGAACTGCAGAGGGAAATGAGAAGCAAGAAAGCACAGACCACCATCACCAACTTCTTCAGTCGCCGAGTGCCTGCCATCGCCGAACCTGCCGGCATCCTGCAACAGGAGGCAGAAGCTGCCGACACCTCACAACAACAAGACGTAGAAGCTGCCGGCACCTCACAACAACAAGATGCAGTACCTGCCCACACCCCTCAAGAAGATGCAGACCTTGACTCATCATACTCATCTGACTGGTCAGGCTTTTAATAAGCCTCAATCATCACACTTGTATATACTGTACACTGTATTGTTTACTGTAAGGACCGATGTTCACTTCAATAAATGAAATCGTAAGTTTGCTAGTATTTTTGTCCACTTATTATATTATTATTTATACACTATTATTTAAGGTTATGTGTAAAGGAAACGCATTAATGCTTAAAGGTACATTTATTCAACATATGCTAATAATAGTTAGAAAAATTACGTAACCATCACGGTATCGACGGTTTCTTTATCGACGGCCGTCTACAGAACGTAACCCCCGTCGATAAAGAGGGAGTACTGTATTTTGTTTACTCTGAGTAAATATGTTATCTTTAGTGCAAAATATATGACATTTATATTCAAAATATTCCTGGTCTTACAAGGAAACCAGCAATGTCAATTATATTATCCTAACTTTAGTCAGAGTTATTATTTATTACTAAAAAGGTAAATATTCTGGTTTCTCCCACACATTTCTCTGGTAGGGAGGGTTGGTGGGGGGTGGGGGGGTGGGGGGGAGGGAGGGACCGATCGACCATCTGGCGTGGTTGGAAGAGGGGGGGAGGCAAGGTGGGGTACTTTGATTGACAGATAGTGTCGTGAAGAATATTTTTTTTTTATTAACTGAAGATATTTGTTTTAGCTCATAAAATTCATACAAATTACCTGGCAAGAATATAATTTAGATTACTGGAATTCTTACAATTTGATGATCATTTTGAATATAAACATCATAGATTTTGCATTAGACATACAAATTTTAGATATAATGTTTACTCTGAGTAAATATATTATCTTTTGTGCAAAATATATGACAGTTATATTCAAAATATTCCTGGTCTTACAAGGAATCCAGCAATGTCAATTATATTATCCTAACTTTAGTTTGAGGTATTATAGATTACTATACCTTAAAATCTAGTGGTTTTCCCCCAAACATTTCTCAGAAAGGGAAGAGCCAGGAGTGTGAGAAGAGGGGGAGGGAGTTGAGTCCATTATTTGAATGGACATTAACTTGGCGACTGTATTTCTCTATTTCTCTTAAGTATTAATTGTGTGCATGTACCATCATAAAATTAAGATGTTATTTTTACTAGAACATAGGTATTGTGTCGGAAAAAGTGGAGTTTGGGGGTCAGCTGGTCTCTATTTCATTTAATCCCATATGTTATGTTGTTCACTTTACGCGTTTCTCGCTTTACGCGGGCCTCCGTGGGTTCAATTGACCGCGTAAAGTGAGGATTCACTGTACACAAATTATACTTCACCTGCGTAAATGACCAAATTTACTGCGTAATTAAAGGATTTCGATTCTTGCAAGGCACAGCGTAAATGACCAAACGCATTAACCAAAACCGCGTAAATCCAGACTCCACTGTACTGTATTTTTGGTGTTTTTTATATAATTATTTATCGTTTTTATACAATTAGTACATTGCCGAATGATTCGGACAGGTGGTCCCCCCGTTTAGTCCAGATCTTCGAGGGTTTACTGTAACACAATATGATATACAGTAAAACCTCGATTAACCGACCACATATGGGGGGAAGGGGCCGACGGATAATCCAAAAGGTCAGTTAATAGCACATAAAGTCTACGGAAATAAAACATACATTTTCAAGGTACTTTTCCCTAACCTACCTCATTTAAGTCCCTCTATTCATTTGCCATTCATATTTTAATAGAATTTGCTTCAAAACATTAACCACTTCAGTAAATAAATATGAACCAGCACAGAAACCGTGAATAAAAAATGGAAAAGTCAAAGACCATGTCATCACAAAAATTGTGACCAAGTCCCAGGTTGCTGATCTGACTTTCTGCCTCATTTACACACAAATATTGAATGCTAAATTAGAATTATCATAATATCTGCTAATCCGGCAGCTGTCTTGTCATACAAAAGCTTGCTATCCTCAACACCATGAAGGACGAAGTGCCTCACCATTTCCATGGTAACTCAGGCTTCTTCCATTTGGATGAGCAAGTGCTGCATCTCTGGCTCTTCCTCAGCCTCCTAAAGCATTGCTATCCTGTGCCACATCAATGTTTACCGTCAAGGACACGATGGGTAGTTTCTCCAATGCTGGAAATAATTTCATATTAATTGAGCAACATCGCAAACAAATGGAAAGCAATGTTTTCCTCTTCTCAGGATATGAGAGGCACACTCACAAGCATCCCGAAAGCCATACCAATCAAACCAGTTATGAATAATGGATATTAATGTTCTTTGTCTTGGTATGTGGATCTCATTATGTTACCTTCCACAATGTCATACCACATACAGTGCATACACTGTTCCTCATTAATTCGTATTATAATTCGGATTTCGGCTTAATTCGTGTGTGTTTTTAAAAAATTAATTAAACGATTTGAATTCGGAATGAATCTGAAACAACCAAACAGTTCCGAAAAGTAGATTATTATTATAGGAATATATTATGAAATAGATCTAGATGAATGAGTTATAGGAATAGAATATGAATTATATTAAGATACTACATTTAGGTGTGTAGCAGTGAAGAGGAGATGGTGGGTGGCAGAGAAGGTGGCAGAGAAGGGGGTGGATGGTGAAGGAGGGAAGAGAGAAAATCTCACCACCTCCTGGTCGGCAGCCTGAGATCCCTTTACAATGACTGCATGCAATTTCATCCATAATTCCCATATTACAAGTGATATTCCCATTAGCCAGAACAATTAGTGCAAAGCACTTCCAGGGATGAGAGATTTCCAGCTAACCAGACAATTTTCTCAAACGCGGAATCTTTTCCGGTTACTGGGAAAAGTTTCCAAGTATCTAAACTAGACATCTTGCACACACAGACACTAGCTCACTTCCCCAGAACATTTCTGGGTGCTGAGGATGTTTTCCTGGAGTCTTAACTACTGGAGTTCATAAATGCAGTTCAAATTAAGTTAGAAACTCCATTTCTTTACGATAATAATCCAGAATACCTTGGTTAAATAAACATATTTATAGATGAAAAATCTATAGGATATGGGCGTGAATTAAGCTGTGTGTTACAGCAAAGACTGTTATTTTCCACTCCCATGGAGATGTGGGGGATCTGTGGGTCTTGTGAAACTGATCTGACCTGATGCAATGTCAGGTGGCGGTAGGGTGGGGGATTAGTGGTCTCATATTACTGACCTTCTGATGGAATATCAGGTGAGAAAAAAAGGTGTGGGTAATTACAGAGATGGAGTGGAAATGAGTGTTGCCAAGCACTCCTCAACAGCTGATATTTAACTCGCTATCACACAGTCACACACACACACACACACGTGTCATACAATAAGAGACTCACTCCTCATGCTTGCTGTTTTAATTACCTTGTTGAGCGTGTGTGAGTGGTGTTGGGGTGTGTGAGTGGTGTTGGGGTGTGTGAGTGGTGTTGGGGTGTGTGAGTGGTGTTGGGGTGTGTGAGTGGTGTTGGGGTGTGTGAGTGGTGTTGGGGTGTGTGAGTGGTGTTGGGGTGTGTGCTGGTGTTGTTGGCAAAACAGACCTTTTGGCGTGTGGGTTGCGTGGTGGCCCCACCCCCCCTCCTCACTCAAGCATGGCTAATTGTGATAGGGAGATGAATTTGATACCATAAAGCTCCTTAATAAATTCTCTTCGAGACATTTCCAATAAGATATCCTTAAATTAAATATTTTGATATGATACAGTGATGGGAATTCCATTTTTTTATATTTAAAAAACCTAAGAAATGTTAATACCGGAGTCAGTAAAATCAGTTCTAATTTCGTTAGATACCATTTTTTTATAAAAATAATCCTGAATACTTTATCTAAAAGGTATGGTTAAATAATTATATTTAAAAAACAAAGCTCTATATGATACAGGCGTGAATAGAGCTGTTACAACTTGTAGGAGCTGTAGTTATGTACACAAACACCACTGTACAATATTGCTCATACTGTAAACATAATAATGTACAGTAGTACCCCGATTTACGCGGTCAATTGAACCCACAGGGTACCGCGGAAAGTGAAATCCGCGTAAATGGAACAACAGAACATATGGGATTAATTCCAATAGAGACTGGCCCGACCCCCAAACTCCACTTTTTGACGACACACAACTATGTTGTAGTAAAAATTTTATCTTAACTTTATGATGGTATGCACAAACAGGTAATATAGAAGAGGTTAGGTTAGGAAAAATAAAGGTTAAGTTAGGAAAAATAAAGGTTAGGTTAGGAAAACTAAAAGTTAGGTGTAACACTTACGTTAGTAGAAGAGATGGGTCGGCATACGGGGATGGAGGCTGGTTCCGAGGCAGAGGGCAGATTACTGGCCCTCAGGTGAATCACCATTACTAGGTGCATCACTATCAGTTACAGTTGTCAGGGCTTTCCTGACAAATCCCTCAAAGTCACCTTCACTGTCACTATCACTGGCTCTGGCTGGCTGTGGTGGGTTGCGGGCGAGGAACTCGGTAATGCTTTTTTGACGGCTAGTGTTGATGTTGTCTTGATACACCTTGATGTATGGCTCCATAGCCTGCACCAGCCGGGTATGGAAGACTTCATAGCGGTCATCGTCATTGTCGTTGGAAAGGAAGAGCTTCAATTTTTCTGCACACTCGACGGCACCCTTAATATGACTATGCGTTAACTTGTGTTCTTCGGAGATTGACGCACCATCTTCCTCTTCACTGACGTGATCATCTTCCAACATCTCGTCGGCAGTCATTTCAGGATTTCTGATCACCTCCAGGATGTCTTCGTTGGTGGTCTCGGAAAAGCCTCAGCTGTAATACTGTGCGCAGCTTCTCTTGCAAGGTCCAATGCCACTGTCACAGACTGAACCTCACCAGTCACAGGTTGACTCCTCCTCTCACCTGGTATGCCATGCAACACATGCCTCCATGCGTGACGAATCATAGCAATAAACAGCTGATCCCATGCCTCCACCAAGAAATCTACAGCTTGTTTGACGTTAAATTTCTTCCAAAACTGTTTGACGAGAACTTCTTGAGTCACCGCCTCTTGTTCCTTGTCCTCGTCGCTTTTACTCTCGCTGTCGGTGTCACCCAGCTTACGCAACTCATCCTTGGTGTTGGTAGAGTCGTTCAGGAGCTTGAATTTCTTTGCCGAGTATGCAGCTTTAACATTGCAGATTAACTCCTGGTCCATGGGCTGGATTAATGACGTAGTGTTGGGAGGAAGGAAGACCACTTTTACGTTGGGGTGACGATCCATAAGTAGGGGCGAGTGTCCAGGTGCGTTGTCAAGGAGCAACACAATGTTGAATGGAACATTCTGTTGCTCGCAGAACTTCTTGACGTCTGGAACGAAACAGTCGTCAAACCAGGAGAGGGACAGAGCAGAGAACATCCACGCCTTACGTGCGGTTAGCCACCGTGGCTAATAGCCAGTGGACATTAAGCTTGTTCATGTCCATATTCTTGTAGGCGTGCGGCTTGTGGGCTGTGTGAATCACCGATAACTTTGGTTTACAGGTACCGGAGGCATTGGTGGTAAAGAGGACGGTGATGCACTCCTTCTGCAACTTCCGACCTCGAACCTTGCTGGCAGACTGGACAACGAAGGTCTTGGTAGGCAGCTTTTTCCAAAAAAGGCCGGATTCGTCCATGTTGAACACCTGGTCGTCAGTGAACTGCCCTTCCTCCATAACCTCACGTAAGAACGGAGGAAAATCTCTAGCAACCACACGGTCAGCACTCGCTTCTTCACCACCAATGTTGATGTTGGTGATTTTGTTCCTCTTCTTAAACCTATGCAGCCAACCAGAGGAAGCATTGAAGGGTTTGGGCTCTGCAATTCCCATCTTACATGACACTGCTGCGTACAGTTCACGTGCGTACTCCTGAACGGATCGCGTGTCCACCGTCATGTTGCGTCGCGCCTGACGAATCAAATAACTCACCAGCAAATTTTCCACCTTTAGCAGCACCTTGTTCTGGGAATACTTGATCATTGAAGCACCTGCAGACTTTGTGATTGTCATGTGCTGTTTGATCTTGGCTGCATCCTTCTTAATAGTACGAATTGTAGATTTGTTCACTCCATGCTTGCGTGTGAGATCAGCTTGATGTGTCCCTTTCTCCAAATCTTGAACGATCTGGTATTTCACTTCGTAGCTTAGGGAACGGCGTATCTTCTTTGGCTTAGGGCGGCTGGGTCCAGGTAAGGAAAGGTTTCTCTCTGGTGGCGGTGGTCCGGCGGAAGCCATTTCACAGAACAATGGATGCACGTATACACAGTGTGGCCTTGAGGGATGAAACTGCCGCAGCTAGGTCAAGAGTCGTCTTTCCTCCCTCCCTCCCTCCCCGGGTGGACACGTCATATTACTTTAAACCAATTACAGCTAGCAGCAGAGGGGGATAGGGATGCATGGCCAATCACAGTCCGATACGTCATATGACGTCAGTGATAACGCAACAGAGACATGCACTGCGCAACCTTACCGCGCGGCTTGCGGAGGAGGGAGAGGCGGGAGCAGGCGGGTGGGGCGAATCTAAAAATAGCGTCGAGCTGGACACTCTGCGCGTATATGGGTAAATGAACCGCGTAAAGTGAAAGTTCGGTTCTGAAATCGCGTAAAGTGAAATCGCGTAAAGCGGGTTAATACTGTATACTACTGTATATATTGTATTCACCAGCAGATCCTGCCATCTTTAGTCTAGAATAGGCAGACACTTCACTCAGATGACTGTAATACATAACTGTAATCAAGTCATAACACTTGTGGTGAAGGTTGGGTGGGAGATTATTGGGTCAAGTTATTAACCTGACCAAATGCATTGTCAGGTCTCCCATTGTTGGGTGGGGGATTAGTGGGTCTATGACCTGAAGATGTCTTGAATGACACTTTTTTTTTACCTATGAGGTATATAAATAGTACTGTTCTGTACTGTATTGTATATGAGGGGTACAGGTATTAATAAGCACAGATTATTACATTAACATATCTTTACTAATTAATGAAAATCAAATAAGCAATATTGTTTTGAATGAATGAGGCAATACAGTAGACAAACAATCAGTGAGGCAACCCTTTAGGGGGGGGGGGGTGGTGCCATCACATTTACCCCCAATGGACCCTTCTTCCTCTCCCTCCCTACCTTACAGCATTTCTCATAAACTTTATTTGTGTTAAAGAGATGAATTTGATACCATAATGATCCTCTATCAGACGTTTCCAATGTGATATCCTTAAATGACAAGCTGAATAATAAGGTAAAAATAAGTATTTTACTGTATATGAAGGGTACTGGTATTAATAAGCTCAAAGTATTACAGTTTCTATCCCCAAGTCTCTCTGTACAGAACAAAACAAAGAATTTATTTGAAAAACTTTGTAACATCTGATACCATAATATCCTGACCACTGGAGCCAGTTATACACACTTTTCCCTGTGAAAAAGCCATAATTTTGAGCAGCATATTACTGTACTCATTTTGTACTCAGATGTACTAGCTTAAGGACTAAAATTTTTATCTCTTGTGCAAACTATGAGATGCTTACACTCAAATTACCGTAATCACTATCTTGCAAGGATTCCAGCAATACACGTTATATTCTCTTAGGTCGAGTCTGCAACATTTTGTAAGAGAAAATTTTAAACCTAAAACAAAATTCATCCCATTAATCGTTATCACTGCCATCTGCCAACCCCCCCCCCCCCTCTTTCTGGCTGGGAGGAGGTGGAGAAGTGGGGTGTTGACAGCCATGAGGGGAGATCAACGTGTAATCAAGGATTATGAAAGGCAAGGAGTTTAAGTTTTTCGCTTATAAAATGTCACTGACTTACTTTAGCAGAATATTACTTGCATTGCTGGAATTCTTGCAAGATGGTGATTAATTTGAGTATAAACGTCCCATAGTTTGCATTAGACATAAAATTTTTAGTAATTAACTCAGTACATTCCAGTACAGGTTGTAATAATTTATGTGGTTGCTCAGCAGTTGTGGTTGCAGTTGCAAAGCTTCGTGACATCACTAGTGTATAATGCATCTCCATATGCCCTGGTTTATTCACTGGTCAGTTGTTGAAATGCAATGGCCAAGTCGAGCCATCATGTATCAATTAATTTTAAAACAGAAATTATAAAGTAAAATGTTATAAGACAATGGTTTAGTAGTGCTGTTAATGTGTGTACTGTGTAAGTGTCTTGGCAT